ATTCTTTCTTTGACATGAAATAATTAACACAGGTTGAATGCAAACATCGTACTTTCAATTAAAATGTAAAATGAAGCCAAGTCACTCTGGTCGAAGCAAACGTCAAAAGATCTGGTAAGTTTGGTTCGATTGGAGAGAGAGAGGGAGAAATGGGGTTTAACGTCCACTCGACACAAACTATGTCATTTCGGGACTAACATGTGGTTTAATTTTATTTCAATAATTCGCTTGCGCGTAGATAGGGGTCTTTAGCGGTGGGAGGAAACCGGAGAACCCAGAGACAACCCACGAGGTTGGACAGACGACCCTACTCCTTGTCACGTACAACCGGGGATTCGAAACTACGCTAGTTTACTCAATGACAGGCCTTATGATACAGCGCGCACGTGCTAACCATTCGGCCATCCAACCCCCCTGGTTCGATTGGTAACTCAGATAATTAAAAAAAAAAATAGGCTAAATTTATATTATATTTGCAACGATGAAATATCGACTGAACAGTAGGCTTACGGACAGTTGGTTTAAACAGGTCGACTTGAGACCATTAGGTCTGTCATTGATTTGTGTGACGTGGTTTTGATTTTTCCGTTTGAACGTCACACAATCTGATTAAAACACAGATCCTATTTCGTTTCGTTTAACTTGTCTTCACAACACTAGGATCCGGAAGAGTTGTTTTATAACAGGCGTTCTAGTTGATGTGCGGAATTAGCCAATGAAACGGTCTGTTACGGCGAGTTCTTGGCGTGCTCTGCACGAGACTGTGGGTAAACCCCTAGAAACGTCAATGATGATTGACCCTGACGCGACCTCCCAGTACAACTGGTCAGTGTAGGCCATCGAAAGTATAAAAAAAAACCCCAAAAAACGAAACGATATATAGATCTGTATTTTAATTAGATTGTACGGAACAAGGACTAGGGACGCCTGTCAAACCTCGTGGGTTTTCTCATGAATTATTGAAATGATATTGAGCCATATGTTATTCCGAACTGACCTAGTTTTCGTCGAGTGAACGTTAAACCCGGTATCCAGACCGGACGGACCAAAGACCACTCGGACCTAGACCACTCGGACCAATTGACAGACCACCTATCTGTAAGCATGGTAGAAAGAATGCCCCTATCGCGGATGATTTAATCGTTAACTAATTAACGAGTTTAATGCTGTAGCTCCATAGAATAAGTTTTGCTTCAAGCGGTCACGACCAACATAAAATGAATATAATTAACACTTTATAGAAGCTCGCGTTGGAACTTAATATAATCAATTTTGTTTCCATAGTCTGTCATTGAGTCAACCCTGCGTGGTTTCGATTCCCCGGTTGTACGTGACAAGGAGTAGGGTCCTCGTGGGTTTTCTCCGGGTCCTCCGGTTTCCTCCCACTGCTAAAGCCCCTACGCGCAAGCGAATTATTGAAATAAAATTGAATCATATGTTAGTTCCGAAATGATCTAGTCTGTGTCGAGTGGACGTCACCCCACCCCCTCCCTCTCTCTCTCTCTCTCCCTCTCAGTGTGCTCCTTGAAAACAACTTAAATTAAATGGGGATTAGCAAACTGCTTTTCTGTACCAACCGGGCTAATGAGTTATTTAGCGTATACACGGATGTCCGTTTTCGTCCCATCCGAAAGACCAGACTCTGGCCCTTGCCAAGTCCCCTGTCCAGCCTGCATTTTCGTCCCATCCGAACGACTAGACTCTTCCAAATCCATGTCCCCTGTTCTGCACCAATGACAAAAGAATACAACTCTGAAAAATCCCGATGAACTTTCGCGGCCAGTTATCGAGATCAAAAGCGGGATCTCCAGATTTGTGGGCCACGATTTAACCCCGGACCTCCTTATTCGTGGGCCAAGGTCTAACCTCGAACCTCCTTATTCGTGGGCCAAGGCTTAACCCCGAAGCTGATTGTTTTGAGGCCAAGATCTAACCCCGAACCTTCTGCTTATATTGCGCCATTGCATTACCAACTTGTTTTAAAACTAGGACACGACATTTTGCGTAAGAATTTGGGTTATGCTGTCAATTTTTCAATGGCTGATTTAGTTCCTTAAGCCATTTAAATTGAACAGCTGTTGCCACTTTAAAAATACCGTAACTATAAGTATAAATTGCTATACTGAAATGCAAGAGAGAGAGAGAGAGAGAGAGAGAGAGAGAGAGAGAGGGAGGGGTGTTAACGCCCACTCGACACAAACTAGGTCATTCCGGGACTAACATATGGTTCAGTTTTATTTAAATATTTCGCTTGCGCGTAGGGGTCTTTAGCAGTGGGAGGACACTGAAGAACCCGGAGAAAACCCACGAGGTCGGATGGGCGACCCTACATCTTGTCACGTACAACTGGAGAATCGAAACCACGCGGCTTGACTTAATGCCGGAACTTATGATACAATGCACACGCGCTAACTATTCGGCCACCCCCTGAACTATAATATTTGGGTGTTAAATCCCATACCATTTCTTATACATCCACATACATAAAGACATATTTGTTTTTGTTAAATTTCACCCACTGGTCTATCCCTCGTTCTCAATTCCTATGGCTAGAATTCTTGACAGAGATGTGAAATGAAATGGAGTTTAATGTCCAACTGTTCTGCTCCGAACTAGGCTAATGAAGACGGGCATACGCCATATGAGGGAAATTTTGCGAATTCCAACTGTCAAGGGATCTTTTACGTGCAAATCAATGTGTACACAGGACCTCGGATTTCGTCCCATCCGAACGACTAGACAGCTGCCCTTGTCAGGGCCTTCCGTCTTGCATCACTAACACGGGGGAACCACGCCGGAAAATCGGGATGAACTTTCTCGGCCAATGCAGGGATCGAACACCCGACCTCCAGGCTAGCGAGCCATCGTCTTACCCACTTAGCCGTGACCCCCACTGACAGAATGGTTAATAAAAAGAACACTATTTACCAACTTTACGTTTTGCCCACTGGAGCTTGTGTATCCATGCAGAGAGAGAGAGAGAGAGAGAGAAATGGGGTTTAACGTCCACTCGACACAAACTAGGTCATTTCGGGACTAACATATGGTTTAATTTTATTTCAATAATTCGCTTGCGCGTAGAGGTCTTTAGCAGTGGGAGGAAACCGGAGGACCCGGAGAAAACCCACGAGGTTGGACAGGCGACCCTACTCCTTGTCACGTACAACCGGGGATTCGAAACCACGCCAGTCGACTCAATGACAGACTTTATGATACAGCGCGCGCACGCTAACCATTCAGCCATCCAACCCCCCGTGTATCCATGCAAGAAAGCATTCTAATTGGAGTTTACTTCAACAGCAAGGGGTAATTGGTTAAGCCACAAGAAATAATCCCCTACATTATTTGGACAGCACGTTGCAGAATCAGTTTTTCTACATATTGATTGCAGTTTAAAATCGTTCCCCGCGAAAGAAGGCATTATTTTCCAACACGATTATTTAAAACTTGTTCATAAGGTCGTGACATTCTAAATATTTGTACACAGTTTATAGATTACACGAAAGACTTTCTTGCTGGCAGGCATGTACTAGTTGGTAAGCAAATGAAATGAAATGAGGTTTAACGGCCTACTGCACCAACTGGGCTAATGAAGACGGGCATATGCCATTCATTATGCTATATGGAATTCCAACGGCCAAGGGATCTTTTACGTGCACGCCAATGTATACACGGGGCCTCGTTTTTAGTACCATAAGAGCGACTAGACAGTTGTCTTTGCCAGACCCTCCGCCCTGGGTCACCGTCAAGGGGAAACCACGCCGGAAAATCCCGATGAACTTTCTCGGCCAACATCGGGAGCGTAATTGGTAAACCCTGACCCATGCACGGCATAAGAAACATTATAAAAGGATGCAGTAACCAAGACCAGGTTTTTTTTTAAAATCAATGTTTATAGATTAATTACAGCTCTGATGTTGTTATTGGTTGGGTTGTATATAAATGTTAAATATACATTATGGGAGATTAGATAAAGAGCTGGCAGTTCTCACTATAAAAGTCAAAAACTAGATAACGTAAAGGGAATTTGCTGAAAATTTCAGTCAAATTGATCCACTCTGAATTGAGAATTGAGCCTAGCCACAATCATCATTACTAAAGTCGGTACGATAAAATACAAAGTCTCGATTATCCACTTATTGATTTAATCATGAATGGACGTTGAGCAGCAGATCAGATCCTAATCCAGTAAATATCACAGGCTAGAGTTGATTATGGTCTGGATAAGTTAATTAATTAATAATTTAGATAAGATTTCAGGAGTAAAGAAAGACCTGCAATAGGCAGATTTAGAACTTGCATACTGTATGTTTGATTTTCGAATAGATACACGCCCCTCAATAAAATAAAACTCTCCTAGCAAACATATTACAATTTATACATATAAATAACATCTTTATGCTAATTATGTGCTTTTCTTATCTTTCAGATCAAACATGGCCAACCATATGCTATCGTACAATCAAATATGCCTTGACACCAGTTGTATAACATCATTCTGAATAAAGACCAAGGAAACCCGGTGAAAATGTCTTGTACAAACGTGCAGAATCAAATAACTATTTATCAGGCAGGGCAATAAACACTATAAACAGTTTCAACTTGGACAATATTACCATGATAAAGCAAAGCCAGATAATTAATAACTAAGAACAAACGTGAAGAACCAACAAGAATTGCAAGTTACAAATAACTGTTTTTCCGGCAAAAACAACTTGAAAATAATCCTCTAGTTAAACACGTCTGATCTGGTCCTTTTACCTAGATAAGGATGCACGTCTCCTAACCCAGGATAAGATTACCGTTGATACTACAAAGACAGAAAGTTAATACCCATTAGACGACCTCGTTGTTTAAATACAATCAAATATAATATGCTCCGGGATAAACGTTGTTAGCTTACTTATTGAGCTCCACAGTTGTCTTACCGGTTATCATATATATATATATATATATATATATATATATATGGTTCTCGTACTTTTATGGATAATCAAGATATTACCGGCTCTTGAATAGAACTGCATTTTTGATCTCACCTCTGTAACCGGAAACACACAAGACTTTTATCACCCACACGACAAAGCCTCATCAAACAATGCTGTGAATGAACGCAATGTGATCTAATAATACCACAAAGCTGGTGTGATAAATTGCATTTGTTATACCTGTCACGCAAATTATCTGAAAAACACAAGGACTGCAGTCTAGAAAAAAAAGCAGTCAAAGCGACGTGGAAATGAGATTGCTGCTTGATTTATGATGAACGATCCGTGCAAAAGATTCCAATTGGATTCAATTTAATTAGATATGGTTCTATTCAATTAAAACAAATACTTCAATGCGAAACATATCTATACCAGTAAAAATCAATTTTGTTTGCGTTGCGACGTCAAAATATAGTCCTTTCACCAACTGTGTTAGGAAATATTAAATTTAATTCGATTCATTATATTGATACACAGTACTATACGGTTCTAAAGGAAACCTCAGAATAAAATCAATTTTGTTTGTGTTGTGACGACAAGAGAGCCCTCTAACCAACTGTGTAAGGAAATATTAAATTCTGATCTGGAAAAATACATAATTACAAACTGTGTGCTATAGAAAGAACGGGTTGATTCTGATCATATCTAGATTGATAGGGAAATTAATAGCGTGACACCAGTAATAGAGTCTAATTTAATAATAGACAGATCGTCAACAGTGTCTCGGACCCAGGCTAATCTCGGCTAACTTACGGCTGATAGTTGGTGATCCGTTAAATGTCTGGAATCGCTTCGAGTGCATGTTATATTGTATTGTTCAATTTTTTCACGATATTTAAATAAGAGTTGATGCTGGTGTCTCCACTCATTAAAATAACTTGCATACAGCCATTGAACTACGACTGATTCTGCGTCGTTAGGGTATATACAGTCATTGTTGATTGAACAGCGACAATAGCATACGCAGTAAATGAAAGCTGGTTGTATTACTTGCTACTTAAAAAAAACAGCTTAATTAGTTTTAGATTTTTTTCGACATTGTTTCTCAAATAGCATATATTCTAATTATATTGCTAATCTTGGTCGCTTAGCATATTGGTTCGTGACTTGTTTTGCTCAGTGTGCAATAGCTAGCGGCACGGTACTGTTGGAAGTTAAAAGATACAAAACCCACTCAATCGCGAAAACCGGAACTGCATATGAAATGGTCCGCCTTGATTCCACTAATTAAACAAAGTGTTTAAACATTACATGTCACTGAAGGCTCCCCAAAGTGTGTTTAAACAAGGGAAACGTGACAGGAAAAAATCAAAGGAATCAATCTTGTAAAGAACTAAACCAAACAAAGTGCGGTGTTTCCAGATTCGGGCGGAAAATCCAGTTAGGAAGAAACTTTGTTATAGCTTTTTAACTTAAGCGCAGTGTTTCCAGACTCCAGTTAGAAAGAAGCGCTGTTATAGTTTTTTTTTTAAAATTAAGCGCAGAGTTTCCAGATTCGGACGAAAGAAACATCATTTTAAACCACTAACCAATTGCTGGTAAGCCCATATATTCTTGGAATATTGACATAGTTTTTAATGACTTAACGGTTCACAGCAGGTGATTCTCCATATTAGATTTATTGGATTGCACAATATAAGTATGTTATAAAAAGAGTGAACAAAACATGGCGTTAAATACAAGCATAGAAAACTTGACACTCAATTCCTCACGTAACAATACCAATATAGACTCATTTCCGTTTAATGCTGCGGGATTACCGGAAGTAATCGGATTCAGTGTTTTATTCTTAGTGATAGGTATCATAGGAATTATTGGTAATATTCTTGTGATTTACACAGTTATAAGTGACAAGAAAATGCGGTCATCTGCCACCAATTTACTTATCACAAACTTGGCGTTTGCTGACCTGATCATTATGATATTTGGAATACCGGAAATAGTCCAATTCATGATAAATAAGGGCTGGGTAATGGATCTATTGTCATGTAAAATAAATCGCTTTATCCTGGTATCCAGTCTTTATGCTTCAGTGTTCACTCTGGTCTCTATTTGCATAGAAAGGTGAGTATACTATTTAGTTTAATATTTGCTCGAAATTTTACAAATTTAAAATTTATATATCTTGGCCAATTTGATCTACATTCTCAGCACAGCTCACCAAATGCGCAGAGGTGCAGTACACCAGAACGCGACGGATAAATCTAGAAAACAGCCAATATTGTGTCAGTTGAACACGGTTAAATGTGTCAGGCAATGATAATCAGCCAAAGGCCCATTTGCAGAGCCAATTAAAAGAGTGTTACGATTATGACACAATTCTGGCCGTTACCGAGCGATTTTGAGACAGTGCTCACGGTGATACGTTTTGAGGTTGCCTTCCATAATCCGTGCTCATTAATTTACCAATAATGCGGTCTAACTACAAATGTACTTTGGGTGTCGTCTTATAACTATGAAATAGTTTCTTAAAGATACATTGCCGCAAAAGTATTTATCGGGTGGTTATTTCAAAAAGTATAGCAAATTTAGTATAGGCACCCGTGGGGCAAGCACCGGGAAAAATGTCAGGGTATCACTAATTAATTGGCAACAAATTTATTGTCTGCCAGTTTAATGTGCGCTAGCTTGACTGAGGGAGCGGTTGTTGTTTCTTGATCAAATGGATAATTGAGGGGCGTCAACGTACAAAAGACTCAGCAATCAAACGGCGGAAAAAGAAGTTGACAGAAAGTGATTAATAATTTACTTAGGCCTCAATATGTATGATAAATGGACATTAAGTAATGAAAAATGCATTCTGAAACAATGGACCCTCTCTCAATGAAGTAAGGTGACAGACATGGCTTCTAACAACAGTTAATTCATAGCTTGAGGTATCTCTCCGCGAATACAAATTTTTTGTAGATTAATTAGTCTGAATATGTTTTTAATCAAAATATATCATTAAAGCACACAGTTTGCACGCGGGAAAGTATCTTTAAAAGGGGGCTCAATTCAGTTTTTTGTTCTTATTGTCCGTGTCGTGTCGTACTCTGACAATTGTAGTGTCTAGTCAATGTCTTCATTACACTTTTGTGATTGTAAATCAATGAACGCTTTCCAAAATCATATGTATTAAAGATACATTATGGGTGATTAGATAAAGAGTTGGCAGTTCGCACTAAAATAGTTTAAAACGAGAAAATGTAAAGGCAATTTGCTGAAAATTTCAGTCAAAGTGATCCATTTTGAACCGAGAATTAAGCGATTGGAATTTCAGCCTAGCCTCGATCATCATTAATAAAGTCGGTACGATAAAAAAAACATAGTCTCGATTATCGATTTTATGATTAAATCATGAATTAAAGTTAGCAGCAAATCGGATCATAATCCAGTAAATATCGCATGCTATCGATGACATCGAGAGTTGATTATTGTCTGGATAAGTTAATTAATGTCTAATTAATAAATTAGAAAACTTTTCATTCCTAAAGAAAGACCTGCAATAGGTAGATTTAGGTCTTACATAATGTATGTTTAAGTGTGCTAGATCTTGTGATTTCCCAGGGGGTTGGATGGCTGAATGGTTAGCGTGCGCGCGCTGTATCATAAAGTCTGTCAATGAGTCGACTGGCGTGGTTTCGAATCCCCGGTTGTACGTGACAAGGCGTAGGGTCGCCTGTCCAACCTCGTGGGTTTTCTCCGGGTCCTCCGGTTTCCTCCCACTGCTAAAGACCCCTATGCGCAAGCGAATTATTGAAATAAAATTAAACCATATGTTAGTCCCGAAATGACCTAGTTGTGTCGAGTGGACGTTAAACCACATTTCTCTCTCTCTCTCTCTCTCTCTCTCTTGTGATTTACCACAATATATTTGATTCGACGATCAGTTGTATGCCCAGATAAAAAGTGTGGCTATGGGTATTAAAGTCGGTCCAATTTATGCTACGCTCATACTTGGATAGGCACAGACTTTGGTTTTTACATCTAACAAAGATGAAAACGATTTTTGGGCGATTGTTTCGTGATCTTGAAACAAAGCGGATCATCAAGATCCTTCATGAAATGTTAATCTCTCTGGATCCCAGTATACAATATTCCGGAGGTGACTGTTATAGATGATGGTCAAATTGTAACTAGCCTGTATTATAAACCTATACTCAGGTCAAAATACAGTTAAACCCCCCAAAAATGGCTACAAAATGTTTCTCAACTGATTCTGGCAGGGTTAAGTAAAACTCTTTGGATTCCAGTGTACAATTTTCCGGACGTGACTGTTACAGATGATGGTCAGATTGTAACTAGCCTGTATTATAATCCTACTGATCCTCATCAATATCTTGATTTCTCGTCCTGTCACCTTTCACATACAAAATGAAATAGCCTATATGGACTGGTGAGAAGAGTCTTCACAATAGTTTCCAATGCTAAAAAACGTAACTTGAAAGACTAGCTGAACTGAAAGCCTTTAATCTAAAGCAAAATGACCTCGAAAAATTTATTGATGAAGCTAATGATCGAGCTCTTAATTTAGAGCAACCTAAATTAAGAGAGCCAAAAGCAAAATTCCTAAGAATAATTTTGAATAATTACCACTAGTCGCTACACATAACCCTATTCAAGAGAATGGAAAATTTATTGTACAAAAACATCTTCCCATAAAAAGTGACAGAATGAGAAATATTATGAAAATTTCAAGAATCATATAAACAGTCTCCGACAAACCATCAAATCTGCGTCAAAATTCTCTCCACATCAACCAACACCAACTGTCACAAAATGCAATGATTGTTTTACTTGTTATGATATTATTGAAGGGTTCTCATTTCTGGTAAACAATGAATAAACTGCAAATCCAAATATATCATTTTTGCATGTTTTGACCTGGTTGTCGTGAAAAATATACCGGAACATATATCAAGCAATTAAACCACCCAATGAAGCTCCGCAGATCCCAAAATAGCCAATCCGGAAAACAGAATGATAGCATTGAGTACGCAATGGAATGAATGTGCATAAACTAAATGGTTTTAATAAGGAACCTTTAGAACAGCAAAGAACCACGTCTTATTAAAAAGTACAAACCCTAACTAAATGTGACAGAATAATTTATCAACATCATATTTTAGTTATTCCCCTTTATGACTTTCTAGTATTGTAACCATGATGTCATAAGTATTGTTATATAAGTATTAATGCAGAATTTGCATTAAGGCCCGAAGATGTTCCGATGGAATTGAAAGCGTGTTTCTTTCCTCAACATTTTAATTTTACACATAACCCAAATTAATATATACATGCACACATGTAAGTATTTAAAATCCGCTAATTCATCAGGATTGAAATCTTTCAATTTTTTCAATACCATTATGTGCATGGTTAAATACGGACACACATTCGTCATGTGTTAACTTTTCGAGCCATATAGCATCACTTGCTGCGTCATAAACTTTGACTGCGCTTAAGAACAAACACTAAGCTATAGTAGATGACCGACATCTTAATTCCTAATTATGGACGACTTTAGTAGAAAACACTATGTACAGTATATTTCGAGAATTTTGTTAAGTATTTATTCCACACGCATTCAATAAAATTGGAAAGGTTTATTTCTTCTTTGTAAGTCAGATATAAAACGGAGTAGAACCGCATTACAAAATAGTATACTATTTTTGGATATGGCGGCCATTCGGGGGAGAGATTTATTCTCGAACTAACAATAGTAATATAACATATATATAAATATATTGGAAGAAGTTAATATTATAAAGTAAATAGATATGCCTTTAATTATGATTTGAAAGACCCCAAGCTCTTGGAATTCTTAATTCCTAAAAGAAGAAAGTTCCATAGGGTTGGTACCATGTCCAAATGATTTAAGTTTTTAAGTAGGTACAGTTAAAAGATATTCATTCTGCGATCTGAGAGTTCTTTGTGGTTTGTAATTTGTTACCATGCTGTTCCATTAAGGCATGTATAAGCTCTACAAAGAAGTTTAAAATTAATCATGCTTTTAACTGGAAGCCAATGGGGATCTTTCAGTAATTGTGTTATGTGATGATTTCTGGTGGACTGGAAAACAATCCTAGCTGCGATGTTTTATACTAGATGTAATTTATTTAAAAGTTTTTGACTGATACCCGAGAGAAGACTATTGCGGTAATTAATCCTTGATAATACTAATTTGTTGTTAGCCAGTTTATCACCTGCGAATTCACTAGCCATATCTGTTGTGATTTCAATGATTGGTGACTCACACAACATTGTTTTTAATCTTATATGATAAACGTTATCAACAAAATATTGATCAGTAAGTTCCTTACGGTTCTTAAATGATGGGGGTTTTGTCTCGGATTTGATACCCAACACGGAGTTCATAAATGTATGGATCTTAGGTGGATTTCGGTTGCTCTGATCCTGTTTTCGAAGACAGAATCCCCTCTTTGCCTCACGCATGACTTTGTGTAGATGACCTCTCCCAGCACGGTACATCTACCCATGAATTTCGCCAGAGTCCTTCTGCCTGGCGTCGCGATTGTTTTGCATCACGCACATTGACATCTTACCAAGGTGTATTTGGCCTCACTGTCACTGGTGTGTTTGGTGCGTATTTGTCCAGCAACCAGGATAGAGTTGTACTGTAGAGAGCAGCAAGATGTTTACTGGTTGAGTTTCGTTGTTCGTTTTCAGGCTTAAGGAAGTTACAATCTATAAGAATCAAGTGATGATCAGAAACCTGTTTATCTTCAACAGATAGACTACCAATTATACAAGAGTCTTCGTGTGTAATGACTAAGTCAAGTATATTTCGAGATTGAGTCTAACGTACACTCGACACAAACGAGGTCATTTTGGGACGAACATATGGTTCAATTTTATTTCAATAATTCGCTTACGCGTAGGAGTCTTTAGCAGTAGGGGAAAACTGTACTCCTTATCACGTACAACCGGGGAATCGAAACGACGCCAGTTGACTCAATGACAGACTTTGTGATACAGCGTGAACACACGCTAACTATTCGGCCATGCATCTCCCTCCCCGCTTGATGACGATGGTCTGTAGATACAGATCAGATTGAAAG